TCGAAGCGCAACATCGATCTCCATCTCGGTGTGGTGATGAGGTTGCACACCTTGGAGCTCGATTCTGGTGGAGACGGCTTTATTATGAATACGAGGAGGAGATGTGTAGATCAAGCACCGGTGTTACGCATGCATCGTGCCTCTTTGACTACCCCATTTACTATAGAAGACGGAAAAACAAACAACCGAGATGGTTGATCCTTTCCTCTGCCCCCTAAACAGAAGTCGTAGTGGAAGAGCAAATGCTTGATGAGTAAATAAAAGTTGTGTCGCACTATTTGTTGGTTTTTTCTGATATGAAATGTGTGGGGCATATGGTGTGACGTGGATAGCTTGCATGTTCAGATAAATTAGATAGTGGGGATGGAGAACTTCTTAGATATATAGGATTGCCTCCAAGTTGCTCTGCTCTGCGATGTGTGTTATGCTCTCGTATTTGTACGTACGTTTGCAGCACAAAAATAGAAATTTTGCTGGTTCGTGTGTGATGTCTGGGGTAACTATGTAGTTTTGCTTGGCCGACACTGATTTCAGTTGGGTTTTCGGGAGAATACTTATGGAAATACTTTGGTTGAAAATTCAGGTTATGTCTTGGGAGTGCACCACAAGACAGAACGCCGTGTCCTTCTAGGATGAGTGCGTTAGAGCAGTCAATTCACAAGTACGCGATGAGGTAAATCCACATTGTGAACGGATAATCAAACGGTCAGTCTTTTACTTCCAGTTCGTTCGCAACCTCACAACTATGAATTATGTTTTGTTTTGTTTTTTGCACGGAACTATGAATTATGTTGATTCTCTTAGGTTATCAAAATGATCACTGACATGTTTGAAGATCAAACATGTAAAGGCAGCTATTGCGGAAGGCCTTGCAGCACATTGCCACTGGGGACATGCCTGAAGCAGTTGAAGGGGAAAAGGTTTGTGTCCATTGCATCAATTGTGCCAAATATTTTATCCTAGAGTAATTCAGGTTAATTTTAGTTTGATATTGTCCCTTAACAAACTTGATGTGCAAGTGCCAACATGTTCCAATCAAGCTAATGGTTTGATACTTTGGGCTTAATTAATTAGGAAGATCGATGCCTCAAAACAGGTGTTCATGTGCACAACCAAGAAGCAGAGATGAAGAGGTGTCAAGAAAGAGGAACTCACACGAGAAATTCTGAATCTTGAAGGCTCATTTGATGTAATTAATATCCTGAACTGTTGAAGATGATATGTTACTTTCGGCTATTTATCTGTATTTGGAATAATTATTCATGGTAAAATTTGTGTTTAGAATAATTCTCGAAGATGATATTACATGGGGTTGAGCTTGTGTGCTTAGAATAACTAGTCACAGTAAAATCTAGATGTGTATAGCAGCTAGTATGCAAAGTTGATCATATCAGCTTCTAAAATTGATACAATACATGAACTTCAAAAAAAATGATACAGTACAGACTAAGCAACACTGCATATTGGCCTTTTCTAACAAGTGTTTGTTGTTCAGTTTATAGAAAAGTTCGCCAACAAAATTATTCAGTGGCAAGCCTATTCATCCGTTGCTGGAAGTCTTACCAGCTAGCGTGGTAAAGCGATGCCTGGGATATCAGGAGCATCCACTAGTAGAAAACAGGGCTTTCGTCCAAACTAAATATACACATTAGTCCCGGTTGCATCACGAACCGGGACTAATGTGTGTGAGCATTAGTCCCGGTTCGAACGGCTAAGGCGTCGGGAAGGCATTAGTCCCGGTTCAAATGATACCTTTTAGTCCCAGTTTGAGACAAGAACCAGGACTAGAGGGTGCAATGCCCTTTAGTCCCCCTTTAGTCTCGGTTTGAGACATGATCCGGGACTAAAGGGTGTGATGCCCTTTAGTCCTGGTTCGTGTCTCAAACCGGGACTAAAGGTTCAAACTATACCCCCCCCCCCCGTGTATCGCCTTTTTAGTTTTGTAAAAAACAAAAAAATAATAAAAACTTCACAAATTAAAATCCTTCGAGATGTAGTTATGTTACTACATCTACTAGTTAGGAAAATTAAAAGAAACTTAAATTTGGACATGTTTTGCAAAAAGTTGTTATGAAAAAGTAAAACGGCCACATCTTTTGCATACGATGTCGAAAAAAACGTATAATATATAAAAAAAATCAACACGAAAATTCGCATCCGATTTTGACCGCCGTAGGCCTGTTTGCAAATTTTTAGAATTCTCAAATTCTGAAAGGAAAAAAAGATATGCTCAAATTTCAGTTTTTTTGACTTTTCATTAAATCTGGTCAAACTACTTATTCAAGAAATATTCGTGTTAATAAATAATTTATTTTTTGACTTTTGGTCAAACTGTGGTCAAACTATGGTCAAATCTGGTCAAACTGTGGTCAAACTACTTATTCAAAAAATATTAGTGTTAATAAATAATTATTTTTAGTTTTTTTGACTTTTGTCAAACTATGGTCAAACTGTTGTCAAGCTATGGTCAAACTACTTATTGAAGAAATATTAGTGTTACTAAATAATTATCGTTTTTTAGAATAATAGTTTCAATCTCAAACGGTGCTTAATGCTCAAGTTCAACTCTTAAGGGTTAATAGGATTGACAACTTAGTATTGTCAGGAAAACAACAAGTGCAGACTTGAAAACTAGGGGAATAGAACTCGAAAGTTAAGCGTGCTCAGGCTAGAGTAGTGAGAGGATGGGTGATCGGCTGAGAAGTTAGACGATTTGGAATGAGTGGTTCATAATTGAGCAGTGATGAGGGGTGATTAGAGTGGGTGATTATAGATTAAATTGTCAAATAATTCAGAAATTTGAAAAAAAATCAAAAAAACAAAAAAAACAGAAAAACATAATTTCAGAAAAATTCCTTTAGTCCCGGTTGGTGTTACCAACCGAGACTAAAGTTGGAGCTCTAGACAGCGACCACGTGGAGCTCCTTTTGTCCCGGTTCGTAAGCAAACCGGGACTAAAGGTTTGGGCTTTAGTCTCGACCCTTTAGTCCTGGTTCCAGAACCGGGACTAATGGCCCGTTTTCTACTCGTGATCTAAGCCCGTGCTTAGTGTCGAATTTTCACAGAAGATAGTTTAATAAAAAATGTAGATATAATATAAACTAGTGTTTGAAACCAATAATTCACTCATGGTCATCTACGAATTACATATATGGTCCTATCTACATTTCTATTAATTCAGTCTATGTACTCTCATATATTGCTCATTCATGGCCACTAAGGTTGTAGTTTTGGCTCATGTATGCCGACCACACTGCTAAGAGTCGGGCCCTCCTCAGGGCACAACTGATGTGGTGATAGCATGAGCTTACGCCAGACACATCACCACTAGTGGATGCCATCCAGAGTGGTAGAGAAGATGAACTACTGGTGGATCCATGATGGGCCAACTCCGATGACGGATCTCAGCCATCCTCCCAGAACCGACGAACTGTGCCCCAGACTTTGTTCTCCTCATCTGAGCAGACGACCGGCTCCCATTCGATGGAACTGGACTGATCAGACTCATATCTAATGTTATCATGTCGGATATGACCGAAGACGTATGGAGAGGAACTGGTGTGTGTGTGTGTGTGTGTGTGTGTGTGTGTGTGTGTGTGGGTGGAGTGGATTGAAAGTGCAGTGGACGAGAAGAATGGCTAAAGTTTGGTCCGGGATAGGTAGGGGGATTTTGCCCGGGTGGGCTCGTCCGATGTATAGGACGCGTCGGGTGGCACCAAATCCGTCCCACATATTGGTTGGATACGAGAGATGCGCGGATAACACAAACATTTGGGCTAAGTTTGTTGGGTGTCTACTTTTTATCCGGATTATCCGCGTGCGCATTTAGAGCATCTCCAATAGCTAAAAAATATCAAATGATAAGTGCCACATGTGTGGCACAAAACAATCCAACGCTGATGTCTTGTACAACTAAAATTTCCATCCGATAAGAAAAAACAAACCCTAAAAACTTGCCATCCAAAAAAAAGTTGCCATCCTCGCGTCACTGAACTTGCCATCAAAAAAATCTGGAGTTGCCATATGGTCGTGTCACACGTGTGACACTTATCATGATCCAAAAAATTGCCGCAATAATCTCCTATTGGGGCTTCCCACTAGCACTTTCCTGTTTATTTGCGATGAACGCTCTAGCAAGTCCCCAATAATCCAATTCCTCAGTAGATAACCTGACATCTAGGACCCACTTGTCAATCAGTCGACGATGGTGTGACAGTGCTCCAGTGGCGGCGGCGGCATTTGAGCGGTGGACGATGGTGTGACAGTGCTCCAGTTGGGACGCGGAGTATTTGAAAACCGAGCTCACATGCTCTCCGGTGAACAATAAAATCCAAAAAAATATTTTTAAAAATTGAAAAATTATGAATTTTTTGTGATAGACATTGATGAGTGTTTTCACTTCCTGCAAATTTTTGTGAGGACATGACATTCGTGTAGGCCTGTGCAAAAAAGAAAACCGATGCTTCAAAAGGACTATTGTTCATAAACCAGTCGAAGCACTTTTTTTGACCCGCCCCCGACACCAGGATTTTGTCGGGGAAAGGGGAGTTGTTGAAGATGCTATAAGGGTGGCCCGGTCGTAAATGCTACAAATTGACGACCTAGGGATGCGCGCACGCCCTATAAACTGGAAGAGAGGAAGTACTTTGATGTCTCAAAAAAAAAACTCCTACTATTTTGATGCAAGTGCATAATTATCATTTATTATCAAAATGGGTGAGCCGTAATTGTCAACGCCGTTGTATGTTCATATAGTATAAAATTGTTCTTTTATTTGTGTGGAGATTGCTCAGTCGCTCCTGAAAAAAAAAGATGGAAGAACTTCTACACCATCTCCCCATCTCCATAGCAAGAGACAAAAAATGCTACAGTAGCAAGCAACCGCGGCAGGATAGAGCCGAGCCGATGGGGAAAGGAAAGGAAAGAGAGAGAAAAGCGCACGAAAAGAAAACAGAGAGAAATGAAACTGCCCTGCTGCTGCTGAGGTCGGCCTCCTGGCGATGAGCCCCCGCCGCCGTCCCCCGCTGCTCCTCCTCGCCGCCGTCGCCGTCGCCTGCGCCTGCGCCGCCGCCCGCCCCTGCGCGGCCCTCGTCCGCCTCGGTGCCGCCTCCTTCCTCGACGCCCCCGCGCGCTTCGGTGAGCAATCGGGCCCCTGTCCCCCGCTTCCCCCCCAAAAAAACCCCTCTTTTCTGAGCTCCGTCCGTCGGCGCAGGGCCCCGGGTGACCGGCGACGGGATATGCGGGTCGCTGCGCGCCGCGGAGCCCGCCGACGCGTGCGCGCCCGTCCGGGGCGCCCCCGGCGGGAGCGGCGGGATGGCGTTCGTGCTCATCGCGCGCGGGAACTGCAGCTTCGAGGGCAAGGTGCGGGCGGCGCAGCGGGCCGGCTTCGACGCCGCGCTCGTCCACGACGACGAGGACAAGGCCAGCCTCTACTCCAGTGAGTGCCTACTGCCCCCCATCTCCCCTGCTATGCTGCTCTGCTGTTTCAGCAGTGTCAGTTCACTTCTCGGTAGCTGGTTCTCTTGATCTGAAGCTAGCTTGAAACTAGGAGATGCGCACTTGGTGAATGGATTTGGCTTCCGCTGCCTGCCAAGTTATGATTCAAAGCACACAGTTGGACTCGGCGGTAATTGGTTTGTGTTTTTGGTATACAACTATACATAGGTTGAAACTGAACCAAACATCAGGCAATTGGTTAAGAAAATGTGCTCTCTCCGTAAACTAATATAAGAGCGTTTAGATCACTATCTAAACGCTCTGTTTGTGCTGGGGGGTTGAAGGTGAACACTGACTTAGTGTTCTAGTACTAGAAATCTAATGCCTTATAGCTATTCGGTAACTATTTGTACCATGTTCTGTTTGGTAGTTCTGTGATGTTGACTGTAAGCCAGTGGTACTTCTTCTGACCTGCTACAAATCCAAAGACTTAGCCAACACAAGTGTATGATATGTTAAATACAGAGAAAACCGTAAAAGTGTTTGTCATCCCACACAGATTCAGAGGATCGCTATCATGTTAGATGTTGTGCCGTGCAATCGATATAGCACCAGTGCTCACCTTCTCCTTTCTGTTAGTATAGTATAGATAAAACATAACAAATGGTCTGGATGAAATTACTTCTTATGAACTTTAACTAGTCTGAAGAAAAGGAATTTTGTTCTAATTTGCTATCACTAGAAAGACATAACTGAACTAACCCTAGCATGCCATATAATTTACAAGCCATCAAGGGGCGCTTTGAAGGTAAACAGGCAGGTTCCTGATATTATTGAGAATGTCATTAATTCAATGTTAGGTTAAGTCCGGCTACCAACATTAGGACACGGCTAAATGACTTTGTGCTAATGGTCTTCAGAAAGATAATTTTTGTGTTTTCATTTATTTAGTTCTTGTTGGAGATACTTTGCAGGATATTTAGTTCCTTCTTTGTCTTAATTTAGTGGTTGGCGATCCTGAGGGCATACACATACCTGCGGTATTCGTATCCAAAATGGCTGGGGAAACCTTGAAGAAGTTTGCCAGAGGTGAAGATGGGGAATGCTGTATAAACTCGTCGATGGATGAGACTGCAGGGACAGTGTTGGTGATGTCGTTCGTATCACTTGTTGTCATCATATCAGTTGTAGCTTCATTTCTTTTCGCTCGGAACTGCCGACTTTTACGCAATGGAGTTGATAATCGCCCACCTTACATCAAGAAGCATGTGGTGGAAAAGCTTCCTTCTGTGGTATATAAAGCTCCCTGCTCAAGTGGCAACAATTGTGAAGAAGCCTGTGCCATTTGTTTAGAAGACTATGATAATGGTGACATGCTTAGACTTCTCCCATGCAAACATGGTAAGAGCATGTGATATCTCACTACTCGACTATTTGTTTATATAGCCGCTGCTTCTTTTGTTGGGAATACAAATTTTTATGCCAGTAGGAGTGTCTATGAAGCTAGTTAAATGATTCAAGAATAAATTTACTACACATTGTTTTTTTGCTGAATGTCAAGATACTACAGATTTAGGATCAAGTTTCACAAACTACACTTTCCTTGGACCCTTGTTTGAATACACCATACCTTTTTCTAATCTTGGAGGGAACTCACCTATGGGCCCTACATGGTAGTGATGGAAAAAGAGAATGGGTTGTTACATTGAGCTAGTCTAGGCTGCTTGTGTGCCATTCTTTTGGTGTCACTGCTAGGAGGTGGCGGATCTAAGTTCCACCCCAGATTCAAAAGGAGTAATTTTGTGAATCAAGTGCCACAGCTTATCTTAAAGGTGCAGTTTTCTCACATTTAGCCAAAAAAGGAGTGTAGTTTTCAAGAAATGAATCAATATGTGCCTCCCTCTTATCTTGATGCATATTTTGATTGGTTAAGACAAGACTTTGATCAACAATTTACTTCATTAATATGTGGTTTATTTGAGACAGAATCACAATCATAAGTAAGTACTCCCTCCGTCCCATAATGTAAGACATTTTTTGACACTAGTGTAGTGTCAAAAAACGTCTTACATTATGGGACGGAGGGAGTAGTTCTGAATACACATCACATAGACTGCACTAATGGACTAATTGTTGGTTAAAGCCTTGTCTTAAACAATCAAAATCCGCCCTATATAACACATATCCAGACAGATGGAGTAATGCATAAAGGCCACAATCGACTAAAGGGAATTTTTGAAGACCATGTTTGGCATATTTTTTTAGCCATGTCACATGACAAAATCTAGTTTAGTATCCCATATTTGTGTTGCACGATTTGAAGTGCTCATGCGATATCCAATGTTTTACATAGGCAACATGTCTACATTTCATAGTTTGTCGCTCATTCTTACATAGGAATATTTCCGTTTCGTGTTAAAGCCAGGCAATGATTTCCACTGTCAGCGATTATGCTTGAAGCTTCTCCCTTCTGATAATCCCCTAACTCTCTTGTGGTGAACAATTTTTTTCTACAGAGTTTCATGTGGAGTGTATTGATCCCTGGCTGACAAAGTGGGGCACATTTTGCCCGGTATGCAAACTTGAGGTACTCACAGGTGGATAAGCAGGCAAGCTAGGAGTAAGTCTCAGGTGAATAAGCAAGCCTCCGTTACTGCATACTCCCTTCGTCCGGAAATACTTGTAGAAGAAATGGGTAAAAATGGATATATGTAGAACTAAAACACATCCAGATACATCCATTCCCCCGACAAGTATTTCCGGATGGAGGGAGTATATACAAGTAGTGCTCGGCGGCATGACGGTTATATCCAGGCGTGCTGAACTGGTTGATCTGTTGTTGGCTGGGTTTGCAAGATAGATCAATGCCGAACATTTTATCATGAGGATGGGGTATGGGCTGTGCGGTCTCTGGGACTGGGCCCGTCTTGATACCCAGTAGAAGATTGAATTGTGTCGTTAACATTGAGATGAACTGTTTAATTGAGGTGTAGTATGTGGAAGCCATCTTGTAATTATATGTCAGAAGTTCAATTGCTTCTTTCCCATGCATTTCGTGATTCTCCCGAGTGGGGTGGGGTGTGGGGCAGTACTGATTTGGTCTTTCGGTTCCTCGGACCCATTTGCCCGTGGTAAATGTACATGTGTGGTGTACTGTTGTTACCGCTCTTGCAACCAAGTGGCTCGTGAAATTTCCAAGTTCACAATGGGTCTGTGCTGGGGCTGTTTAAGTCGGTGACTTTGCTCACAGTGTTCTAGTTGCGATTTGGCTGTGCTGATGGTTTAAGGAATACAAAATGCCCTATCAAGAACCTTCTCTTTTGAGCCGTTTTTTGTTTTGCTGTTTCACAGGTAGCTTGTTGCTTTTTTTTTTTCTCTGTGTGTGTGTCGACTGTCGACTGTCGAACTTGGACCCAAGAGATACTCCGTTTTTTTGTATGCCAAGTTAGAGGCTATTTCTGTAGTTGATAGTTGAGAAAGCATGTCTCTGAATGAGTTGAAAGAAAATAGCCTGAGCTTGAGATGGAAACACTGTTACTTTGGGAAGTTGATGCGCTGGACACTTTCTTCTCTTGCTTTTTATGGCGTTTCACTCCATTATTAGCTGTTCTAAGATGTACTATAAGGTTCTGCAGCATCTGTGAGAACCTTGTGGATATGGGAACGTGTTGTTACAATTCTGGGATTATTGGTGGTGCAATATCTACGTGCTGCATTCATGTGCTGGAACCGATTGCTAGCTTTGAAACATTGGCAACCAGGCACGCAGAGTAAGAGTAACAAGACATACCATCATCTTCAGGCTGTGCTCCATCATGGTTGCCCACTAGTCTCGTTCTGTAAACTAAGCACTAGTATTACCAGTGGCACTTGGTTACTACTGGTGGTGGGCTGCCTGTCCACGGGCCTACCTTGCGCACCGGCGGCCCAATGAGCTCGTGCCAAGCCCGCGGACGTCGCTTCTCCTGTCTCCGCTTCTTCCTCTGTTCTTCAGTCTTCATCAGAAATGTCATGACAGATTATTATTTTTGAGACAAATGTCATGACAGATGGTAAACCAGACCGTATAAAACACAAGCTTGACCACCCAACCCATACATGCATGGCAGGCACGCAGTCTACCGACTAACCCGTTAGCTTTCACCTTAACGGTACACGTAGCACAGAAAGCACAAGAACGAAAATACTTAGGGTTTAGGGTTTACGGGATCGAGAATGATCATACTCCAAAAAGAACAAACCAGATCTTCAAAAAAAAAAAAAGAGAATAAACCATAGATGAGATCACATCGGGGTGTGCTAGCTAGCTCCATTGAAAACTTGATCGTGTGCACACTGCACATGCAGCATGCAAAATCAAAATATTAAACAGAATGTGCAACCCGATAGGGTACCGTGCCCATCTATGACTCCACTGTCCCAAATGACCCTCTCTTATTATTCAAATCAAACTGAGCATGCGATTACAATGAAAAGTGTCGGTGAACTCGGTATCATTTGGACCTCGAGGCTAGCTCTCCGAGGAAGGCGGCGGCGTGCTCCTCCCTGACGCAGGCGGCCATGACGCTGGACCCGAGGGCGCCGCTCCCCGGGCACGGCACGCAGTTGGGCGCCCTCGCCCTGCCCCGGCCGTAGGTGGTCACCCGCGCCGGCGGCCCTCCGCCGAAGTCGGCCCTGTCCAGCCCGAGGTTCCGCCAGCTCGTGACGATGAGCACGTTGTACCCGTCCACGGCCAGGCCAGCCACGCCGCGGCGGTCCACACCTGCGCCCTTCTCGCCGCCGTCGTCGAACTGCTCCGGTATCTGGCTCTTGGCGCGCTGGATCATCCCCACCAGGTCCGCGAGGTCGCCGCCGGCCACCGCGCCGGCCGTCGCCACCACCACCCGCCCGGTCACGCAGTTGCCGTAGTACCCGCGCCGGGACCCGACGTACCTCCGCGCGTTCACCGCGAAGTAGAGCGCCACGGGCTCCTCCGGGCTGGACGACAGCCCCACCGCGCCGGTGCGGCACTGCCACAGCAGCGCGGTCACCGCCTCGAACGTCGTGCACGGCGGCCTTGACCTTGATGATCCGCTGGCGTTGGAGCTCTCCTTGATGCGGTCGATTAGGCCCCATGGCACGGTGACGTCGAGCGCGGCCATGTCGGCCGGCTGGAGCGTCATCATCAGCTCCACGAAGCCGTCGGCGGGCGGAGGCACCGCCGTCAGCGCGTCGTCCCACCTCACCGGGGCCACGGACGGCGACGGCAGCCCGCGCGCGAGCTCGCCGACGGCCTGCAGGAACTGGCCGATCCCGGCCGCGTCGGCGACGACGTGGTTCCACGTTACCCCGACGACGAAGCCGCCGCAGGAGAACTCGGTGACCTGCATCATGAGCAGAGGGTCACCGAAACCGCAGTGCTCGGCCGGGTAGTAGATGGCCAGCTCCTCCAGCAGCGCGCCGGCCACCGACCGGCCGAAGAACTCGGCGTCCTTGAGAGCGCAGTCCGCGGCCGCGGCCACGAACGGGACGCCCTCGCCGGTGCACCTGATGTGGAACTCGCCCTGCTCGGCTCCGGCAGCGAGGCGGCCTGAGACTGGGGAGTAGTGGGCTAGAGCTTGGGACAGAGCCCTCTCTATGGTCGCGGCAGGTTCGGGGATCCGACCGTCGAACACCATGAACACCGCCGCTGGCACGGACATGACGTTCTTGTCCAAAGGCGAGAGGTTGATGTTGACGGTGGCCGTCACCGGCTCCGGTGGTGGCCTCACGACCACCGTCGAGCATTTCCTCACCACGACGCCCATTCCTCGTGTAACTAGGCGCTGTTGGTGGCTCTGTTATCTGAGGTCGTGAACCCATCCTTTACTAGTAGGCTCAACACCTCGTATGGTGATTTCCAACAGCCGCTGAATGCGCCGCGCGTAAAAAATGGCTTTAGCGCGCGTCCATCGCCTGGTTTGGCGCGGCGCGCAGCGCCAGCTCCAGCCGCCGCGCTAAAATACAGCGCGCGCGGGCCGCTTTAGCAGGCGCGTAAAAATTGCAGCGCACGCGCTCATTCTACAAATTAGGATATAGACATAGCATAGAAACTAGATAGATTGCATAGGATTTTAAACGATACAAAAGTATTTTACATCGAAAACATAAATTGCATAATTTAAAAACGACAAACGATAAAAAACTAAGATAGCATAAAAAACTACTGTAAGTCGCTATCATCATCATCACCATTATCATCCTCGGCGGTGTCGTCCGAGGTTGATAGCCATATGTCCAACCAACGATCATCCTCGGGGGTGAAGATCGTCCTACGACCTGCTGCAACGAGATCGGTCTGCTCGTTCGCCAACGCCTTCCGCCGACGCTTGTCCAACCGCGACTCGCGGCGCCTTCGCGTGTCCTCCTCGCGACGCCTTGCCCAGTAGGCTTGCTCGTAGGCGACGTCCTCCTGGTGGCGCCGGCGCCACTCCGCCATGACCCGCTCGTCCTCCTGGGCGACGAGTGTTGGGGAACGTAGTAATTTCAAAAAAATTCCTACGTACACGCAAGATCATGGTGATGACATAGCAACGAGAGGGGAGAGTGTTGTCCACGTACCCTCGTAGACCGTAAGCGGAAGCGTTATGACAACGCGGTTGATGTAGTCGTACGTCTTCACGATCCGACTGATCCAAGTACCGAACGTACGGCACCTCCGAGTTCAGCACACGTTTAGCTCGATGACGATCCCCGGGCTCCGATCCAGCAAAGCTTCGGGAATGAGTTCCGTCAGCACGACGGCATGGTGACGATGATGATGCTCTACCGGCGCAGGGCTTCGCCTAAACCCCGCGACGATATGACCGAGGTGGAATATGGTGGAGGGGGGCACCGCACACGGCTAAGAAACGATCCGTAGATCAACTTGTGTTGTTGTTCCTAGAGGTGCCCCCTGCCCCCGTATATAAAGGAGCAAGGGGGGAGGGGGCGGCCGGCCTAGGAGGGGCGCGCCAAGGGGAGTCCTACTCCCACTGGGAGTAGGACTCCCTCCTTCCTTGTTGGAGTAGGAGAAGGGGGGAAAGAGGGGGAGAGGAGGAAGGAAAGGGGGGCCGCACCCCTTGTCCAATTTGGACCAGAGGGGGGCTTCGCGCCTCCTTCCTTTCAGCCTCTCTCCTCTATTCCCGTATGGCCCAATAAGACCCATATACTCCCCGGCGAATTCCCGTAACTCTCCGGTACTCCGAAAAATACCCGAATCACTCGGAACCTTTCCAAACTTTGAATATAGTCGTCCAATATATCGATCTTTACGTCTCGACCATTTCGAGACTCCTCGTCATGTCCCCGATCTCATCCGGGACTCCGAACTCCTTCGGTACATCAAAACTCATAAACTCATAATATAACTGTTATCGAAACCTTAAGCGTGCGGACCCTATGGGTTCGAGAACTATGTAGACATGACCTAGAACTATTCTTGGTCAATAACCAATAGCGGAACATGGATGCTCATATTGGCTCCTACATATTCTACGAAGATCTTTATCGGTCAAACCGCATAACAACATATGTTGTTCCCTTTGTCATCGGTATGTTACTTGCCCGAGATTCGATCGTCGGTATATTAATACCTAGTTCAATCTC